CAAAGGGTACCCACCACTACTAAGTAAAGGGGTATATGTGTGAGGCTGAGGCTGACCTATGGTCCCTGGGAAACTCAGTGGCTAGAGAATCAAACCTACTTCTATCTAAGCAAACTTGACCCTTCATAGCACCACCCTGGGTTCTCTTTCTGGGTGATGCTAGAGTGTGACAGAATGTGAGGAATTGGGGGTTTTTTTGTGGGTAGACAGGACCTAGAACAAAAAGTTGCCATTTGGACAGCACAGAGCGCTTCTTGTTCAGGATTTCAGTAACTCCATTCTGTTCCCCACCCACCACCCATTTCTGGGGTTTTTTCTCTGACAGTAGCCAGATATGCTCAGTCTGCAACGTAGTCAGTCCTCATTGGGCTATTTTGGGTTTTCCTCTCCTTTGGGGTTTTTGTTACTTCTGTAAACTTTGAGGTTCCCTTGAGCCTGTTGTGTACCTCCCTCCTTCTGAGTGGGCAATGCCATTTTGGCAACAAGAGCAACAACACTCAGAAAATCAAGGTTGCTATTAGGATGGATGAATAGATTCTATAATCTATTTACCTACCTGTTGATTGATTGCTCTATCAGTCTATCAGAACCTGCCATTTGTACCTTAAAAATGCATCTGTTTGATTTATCAGAACGACCCGTTAAATGTAAATTCCAGTCTTTGCCTGATCAAATGAGCTGCTAAAGAGGCATGGAGCTCAGTGGCATTCTGCAGGCTGTTGAGTCATCAGATGCAGCTGAGCTGGAAGCAGCTCAGCAGGGCTACCCATCAGGGCAGGGTGAGTGCAGGGACTCATCCCTTAGTGAAGGAGCCCAGATACTGCAGTCTCACGTGCTGCTGCACCAGTGACGGCCAGATTCCTTCCAAACTCTTGAACAGCTGAGAGCTGGGATAGACTTCCTTGGCTACCTCTCTAGGTCTCCTTTTACATGGAATCAGAGACACTTTGTTGTTACTCCTCCATCTGTTTCCAGCCCCACCAATAGCTGCAACATGATGGGGATGGAAGAATGCTGAGTGGCAGAGCCTTGAAGGTGGAGAACAGATCTGGGGACTGAGATGAGAATTGTTAGGGGAGAAGTGGTACAAGGCCTCAGTGTTTGTGGTTCTCAGGTCTCCGGCCTTTTCTTCTTCCCCCCTTTAAAATAACTTTTTTTAAAAAGTTGTTTTGTTTTTTTACGTTCCTTACAGGTGCATTGCTGATGAAGCCCCTGCCATCCAACCTTCTTAATATGCCCAGAGCAATATATATGTGATATTATTCTTGCTTCCTCATGTTTGTGAGTTCAGCAGAGTGCATCCCTTTGCAGTTTAAAAGGGAAGCTTAGATAGGCTAGTTTTAGCTTTTTAGTTTAAGTAATCCAGAATGCTTTAAGGCAGACTGGATTCTCCTGGCATTTCCCCCTTTCTCCCCATTAAAATAATAACCACACAGACAGTCTTGTAAAAGGTAAAAAAAATAACATTTACTCACTCAGAATACTTGTTGAAGAGTAACAGGTACAGCAGCTTTCTTCGGGCAGGCTTAAAATGGTAATCTAGTTACAAGGACATACTTTAGTCTAGTTTAAAATGGAATCTGAGCTGTGGCTCAGACTTAGCAGATGTTCTCACATGGCTGGAACGATGGTGAGAGAGCAAAGAGGAAGTACCTATGCACTCCCCCTGATGGGACACAGTGGGCGTGTCTCTCAGAGTTCTCTCTAGGAAACTTACAGGAAGAAACTCTGAGGGCTTCAGCTCCTGTCATGTGCCTGTCTAGCAAACATGCATTGTCAGTTTGACTGCATTGTACAGTAAATATCTCACAATCCAGCCTTAATAGTTCTTAATAGTTTCTCTTTGGACGGTAACTTTTCAACGCTGGTTCCAGGTTCGTGTGGGCCTTAGGGCAATAGAGCATCACCAAAGGAACATAGGAAACCACCTTATACTGAGTTGGGTCCCTCTAGCTCACTGTTGTCAAACACTGACTGCTGGTAGGTCTCCCAGACCCATCTGGAAATGCCATGAATTGAACCTGAGACCTTCTGTATGCACACTGAACTGTGGCCCCTTCCCAACTTTCTTTTTTTTAAGGCCTGATTTTCCATCCACACCACTCATTCCCTCTACTGAGAGGGCCCCTGGACCTCTGCCCTCATGGCACCACTGGGAGCTGCACACAGGCATGGAACTTACCCTGCCATTCAGCAAGGAGAAGCAACTGCTGGAGGCGGCCAATCTGGTGTCCCCTTAAAGGGCAGCAGAGTCAGAGACTGATAGATCTGGACTTGGGGGCAGGGAGGCGGGGGATTCACTCCGGAGACATTCTCCTGCACAAGACCCAATGAAATGAAGAGTTGGGTGGGTGGGGACTGTGCCATATCCCGGCTGGCTCTTCTCAGTCTGGCCTGTGCCAAAGGATTCCCCAGTGGATTACATGCTTGTTCCATGGAATAATGGAGGGACGTCCTTTGGGATGGCTCACCTTTGCCCACCCAGATGAAGCAAAAGACAGAGCCCATGGCTCAGAAGCAACCCCGAAACCCCTGACTCCCTTTGGTAAACAAAAGGACACTACTTGATGGCCCCCACTGAAAAATAACCATAATAACTGGAGGAGGTTGAGAAGTGGCCCTTGCAAAAGATTGATTTGCTGGGTGGGCCAGAGGACAGGCCCTCTGCTGCTGCTGCTGCTAAAGAGGGGTGTGTGTGTGTGTGTGTGTGTGTGTGTGTGTGTGTGTGTGTGTGCAGAGAGAGAATGGGGGAGGGAAGAGGGATGGGGAGATTCTTTTGACATAAGGTCTCTAACATCCCTTCCTCCTGGGTGATTTTACAACCAGCCACATAAAGGTACACTCCAAATATCCTCCTTCCTTCCCTATTCCCCCCCCTCTATTGTTTCCAACCCCTTAGCTGTCGTCGTCCCCCCACTCATCTATCTCGCTTCATCTTGTCAGGGCTGCGTAGATCTAATCTGTCTGGGGCTGGGTCTTTTCTTTCCCTCGTTCGTTCGTTCGTTCTTTCTTTCTTTCCTTCCTTCCTTCTCCCTCTTTCTTTCTTTCTTAAGAGTAGGGAGTGACAGATGGCGGGCCCGCTTTCCCCCGAGAGCGAGATCTCCCTACATGCGAGCGCATGTCAATCACCGCAGCTCATGTGATAACTCCAGCGGATGACGTGCCAGCCATATGGTCTGGCATCAGAGTTGGTACCCCCTCTGCCTGCGCGAAGCGTGCCACTTCCCTCCTCCTTTTGGATAAGACACTGAAGGAGACGGGGTGGACCTCAAGGAGCCTGTGCCTCTCTTTTTTTCCTCTCTCTCTCTCTCTTCCTCTTCTTCCTCCCCTCTAATTTTCTCCCCCCCCCCTTACTCCCAAAAGATGCGGGGTCCGAGGACTTGAAGATTCCTCCGCTCAGCTTTGGAGGTAAGTTATGTAAGGAAGAGAGAGCGGGGCAGAAACTTGAAAGGATGGGGTCACGCAACTTGCCTCCCCACCCCACCCCCGGCCACCTTCTTGGATCTCTCCCTCACTACAGATCTTATCTCTCTTTCTATAGACGCCCCCCCCCTTCTGCGCACACACAATTTATTTGTATCTTTGGGGGAAGAATGGCTAGAGAGGGGGATGCGCGCGGGGGGTGGGTGGAATAAGCTATCTCTAGGCAAGATTTTTTTATAGATCCAAAATCGCTTATGTAGCAAAGATCGGTTTTGCATGAGATGTGTGTCTGTGTGTTTTTAAATAGATCTCAGCAGCCTTTGTGGCACGTTCAAAGATACCATTTAAAAAATAAGAATAAGAATCAAGCAGAGATCTGAGCAGACGATCCGGTGAAATACAATTTTCCAATTGTATTTAAAAATAATAATAATTAAAAGAAAACCCGTGCAGCCTTATCATTGAATCGAAGCTGTAGCACTTATCGGAGTGAACGGCACTCTCTTCAGCTCATCTACGGAGCTGTTGGTTTTTAGCTTGAGGGGTTTTTTTAGGAGTGGGTGCGTGTGTTGGGTGATCTTTCCCCATTCTTCTTCTTCCTCCTCTTTTTTGTGAAAACTGGCTCCCACCCCTCCCTAAGCAAAACACAGCGAGGGCAAATGCTCGCACAGGAACTGCCAAGCGATCCCTCGGTTCCTCGTAGTTTTGGAGCAAAAGGCTCCCTAGGAAAATGGTCTTCAGCGGGGTCTGCATGTGGGCTAATGGAGCCAGTGTAGGGAGGGAGACGGGCGGAAAGCAAGAGCGACTGGAACCGGGTGGGATCTAGCGATTCTGCAAGAGCATTGAGTAGCTCAGGGAGCTTTAATAATAATAATAATAATAATAATAATAATAATAATAATATCATCAAATTAATTGATTGAATGATCGATCAACGTGTTATATACCCAGAATGTTCTTTTAGGGGTTTAGAGTGAGGTACGAAACCATTCCCTGAAAAAGAAAGAGCGTTGGCAGGACTCAAACAGTTTAAACAAAAACAGGACAGGGGAAAATTGACAGGAACGAGAAGTTATGAGGGTTGGGATGTGATGGAGGAACGCGAGGATGGGGGTGGCTGGGGGCAGCGGGATGCAAAGTTCCAAATTCTAACATTTCGTTCTAATATTAACATTAACGTTGATTTAAAAAAGAAAAAAGAAAACCACCCAGAAATTGCGCTGGACCATTGGCTTATCAAGCTTCGGGTGGGATGGGACGGAGAATCCGGAGAGAAAAGTTAGAGATTTCGCTTGGCATTCTCTAGATCTCCGCCTCAAAGCTCTCCAGAGATATAAACAGAGGCAGGCTAGCTGGAAGAGATCGACGTATATATACGAGCCGGGGAGGCAGAGGAGATGGGGCGTAGCGATTTTAAATTCCCTTGGAGCTGATCGCATAAATATGAACCTTAAATTAAAACAAAAACAAAAACAAATAAACAGCCCCGTAAAGAAATCGGAGAAAATATACACTACATTTCAACAGCAACAAAACGAAAGGGTGTGTGTGAGAGAGAGAGAGAGAGAGAGAGAAGGAGGGAGGGAGGGAGAGGGAGAGAGAGAGACAGAGACTGTCTGTAATGAACCGGATCTATCAGAAATATTGCACCAATTCCGCAGCAAAGCAATGGAGACACCAATTAATTTTAATCACACTTTAAAACGAGTCAATTGCTTTTATGGAGGGGAGGGGGGAGCGCGGTTTCAGGCCAGTTCTAAGCCGCTCTCCCATCCCCTCCTCCTCCTACAAAAGCTCTGCTTAAATTAGACTCCCGTTAAAAGTATGGGTGGGAGTGGGGAGGGAGCGGGAGATTTTGTCTCTGATCGAGCGGAAGGTAACCAGGATTATTTTGACGAGAGCCGCTGCACGTACTTCGAGGCAGAACGTTTGGGAGAAGAGTGCAATAAAAAGGTTGAGTCAGGCTTTAAGAAGTGCCCTATCTTATTATGATCTGGGGGGTGGAAAGGAGTGAAAATGCAGGAGTTAGGGGGGGAGGCTAAAGGTCAGAACCCCACGGCTTCCTTCTCTAAAACACGCTCTGGAATGTTTAGCGAATCGTCAGCGCGTCGGATCCGGATGGGGATCACGGTTAATCGATTTGATCCATTTTTTAAAAATAGAAAAGAAAAGAAAAACAGGACTTCAAAGAACAAATTATGGGGTTGGAGAACAAATGCAGAACTGTGAAAGGGGTGGGTGGCTGGCTCTTAAGCACGTCCAAAGAACGGATTCCACCCAGCCATCCCGGAAGAGCCACTTGGCATGTTCCAATGACAGCGCAAAGGCATACCGGTATATTTTGGGAGGCGACGCTCTGCACATCCTTGCAGATCGTAGGCAAAAGTTAGATTATTTTGCTTGGGGAGGGAAGGCCCGTTCAGCCTTGAATGGGATGGGAAATCGACCCATGCCTTGGTAGTCCTAATGTGCTTGAAACCGTGGACCAGTCAAGGTTGCTCCGGCTTTAGGATGAAGTTCCAACAGTCCGGAATAGTTTGGATGACGCGCGTGCTTAGAGTTAGGGCTGCTGAGGCTCTGAAAGAAACTTGTGCTCTTATTTCTCGTTTCCATTCCTCTGTCCCTTCCCTCCGCCCCCCCTGTGTGCGTCCCCCCATCCCCTCCCTCCCTCCCTCCGTCCTCCCCCTCCCCGCCCGCATGTCACCTCTGCAGCCACCATGTTGACGCGACTCTTCAGCGAGCCCAGCCTGATCCCAGAAGTTCAGAAATTCTCCAGCTGGGCAGACGACTGCGACGACGACGACGACGAGGACGACGAGGCCAGCGATAAAGATGAGCGGAAGGGCAAGAGCTGCCCTCTCCAGGACGAGCAGACCGACGGGGAGGCCAAAGACGACCACGACTTAGGGGGCGAGGAGGAGGAGGAAGAGGAGGAAGAAGAAGGGGTCGAGGAGGCGGAAGGGGATCGCCCCAAGAAACGGGGCCCCAAAAAGAGGAAGATGACCAAGGCCCGGCTGGAGCGCTCCAAGTTGAGGCGCCAAAAGGCCAACGCCCGCGAGAGGAACCGCATGCACGACCTGAACGCCGCCTTGGACAACCTCCGCAAGGTGGTGCCTTGCTACTCCAAGACTCAGAAGCTGTCTAAGATCGAGACGCTGAGGCTGGCCAAGAACTACATCTGGGCCCTGTCGGAGATCTTGCGCTCGGGCAAGAGGCCGGACTTGGTGTCCTACGTGCAGACTTTGTGCAAAGGCTTGTCGCAGCCCACCACCAACTTGGTGGCGGGCTGCCTGCAGCTCAACTCGAGGAATTTCCTGACCGAGCAAGGCCAGGAGGCCGGCAGGTACCACGGGCCCAACTCCACCTTTGCCATGCACCCTTACACCTACCAGTGCTCGCGGCTCTCCGGCGCGCAGTGCGCTTCCAGCACCATGGCTAGCTCCCACGCCCTGCGGACGCACGCCTACTGCGCCACCTACGAGTCGCTCTATGGGAACGCGTCGCCAGACTACAATAGCTCGGAATACGATGGGCCCCTGAGCCCTCCTTTGTGCGTGAACGGGAATTTCTCCCTCAAGCAAGACTCTTCCCCAGACCACGAGAAAAACTACCACTATTCTATGCACTACTCCGCCCTCCCGAGTTCTCGCCCGTCCGGCCACAATTTGGTCTTCGGGTCTTCTGGGATGCGCAGCGGCGTCCACTCGGAGAACGTTTTGCCTTATGAGATGCACCTCCACCACGACAGAGGTCCCATGTACGAGGAGCTCAATGCTTTTTTCCATAATTAACGACTCCTCCCGCCTTTGGGCTCCCCTTCTGGTTCCACACCTAACCAGGGCCACCTGTAGATCCCCAGTGGGTTGCGTTCGCGAAAGGGATAGGCGTGTGTGTGGTTCTGTGCGCGCGCGTGGGCGATTTTTATTTGGGGTGGGGGGGCAACGGTCCTTGGCCTTCTCGAAGCCCCTGCTCGCCTCTTCCCGAGAGCTGCAACTTTGCATTCAACTGTGAGCCACTTTCCCTCGCAGTTAGAGAGAACTAATCTAAATAATAATAATAATAATAATATTAACAACAACAACAATAACACCCATCCCTAAACCTATTGAGCCGGGCGTACTTGTTTCAAAGCAGCGTGTGGAAGGCGGGTTCAGCCCGATCTACAAGACACTTAGGCCGAAGCCACGGACTTGACTCACTTCGAATCCGCTGGGATTCGACGGGGTCGATTCTGTTTGAAGTCAATGGTCTTCGGCTTAAATGAGGAGTCGACGGAGCTGATGAAGCGCCCTGTTTCCTATGGGACTCCTTACTTGACTGGGAGTTGGGGTGTAAACCGGATCTGAGACCTGGTCTCCTCCTCTGCCCCAATTACTAATAAAAGAAATCTGGTGCAATATATGCTCTAATGCAATTTTATATATATGAGAAAGCAAACTATATAGCTTCGTGGACTGTTTAGCTGAGGTCTTGACTATCTAGAAAGGAGGGTTTTAGATCCAAATCGGAAGTGCTATTAAGGAAGGGGGGAAACATCAAATTTATGGGGAGTGTGTGTGAGGGGGAGTCAAAGGTTCGCCCCACCTTAAGCGATTGCCTATATTGAGCAATGCTCAATATAGGCATTTAATCTAGAGACCAGAATGGCTGTAGAGCGAAATAATTCAGTACAGGGCAGGAGATGGTGGGGGGAGGGGGCTTTCCATCATTCCAGCAATTGATTCAAGAATTCCCCGAAAGTTTAATCTATTTAAGGACGTGCTTGTTTGTTTGTTTTTTAAAAATACGTTTGCAAACTTTAAGTCAGACTTTCGATGCAGTGAGAACTTTAAAAAAGCAATAAAGGGGCAAACAGATGATAAATATATTCTATCTTTATCTATGCAAGTAGGTACTGAAACTAGGGAAAAAGTTTTTAAAATGAAGGAAAAGGAAAACAAAAAGGAAAAATGAAAAACAACAACAACCAAGAATCCATATGAGATATTAAAAATATGGACCAACAAACTCGCTGAGGTTTAAAATCGAGCACTTTTTTGATTTGGGGGAAACGGACTGTGGTATATTTCCCTGGTATTTAACAATCACTGACTTTTTGAAACCACCCTTGTAACCCCAAGTAACTTATTTTCCAAAATTCGTGTGTCATGCTGTTTTTTACCTGTTTTAAAAACGTTAATGAAAAAAAAAGTGGAAAAAAAGATTTTTATGAAATGACAAAAATGTTTTGTTATGCATGGATAGGAGGGGGAAACGCAAATATGCAAAATTTAAAGGTGATGTGAAAAATAACACTGATTATTATGCTTAATTCTTACGTTGGCTAGTTTTTTCCCCTCCCAATTAATAGTAACTCTTAATTTCTTTCTTTCTGTAATGCGTTTTTTGGGGGGAGAAATACGTTTATGTAACAATACACCAGTATATAAATCTCTATATAAAAACCAACATCTTCGAAAGACTCAAACTGGTATATTTTTCCCCCAACAGAGTAATGATTCATTTCTCCTTCCTTTGATGACTTGCTTTACAGCCAGGGGGATATGTCAAAATATTGTCTCAGATTCCCAACCCCCAACCCCTTATTTTAGTATGGCCCTGCATCACCTTTAAACATACCAGCATTTTTTTTTAAAAAAAATAAATAATCAAAAGCAAAAGGCACACATTTCTGATTGATATTTTTTAAAACAAAACTCAACAACGTTTTACTAAAAAACAACAAGACCAGAAAAGTTGTAGTTCAAATTGAAATGTCTATTGGACACCAGAAGTGCTTTGTGTGTGCGCGTGTGTACATGTGTGTTTGGTTTCCTTAAGATGAATAAATATTTATGTCAAAATGATATCCTAAAGTCCAAGGGGGAAAGGGGAGGGGGAGAGATTTTTCCAAGTCTTGTTTTAAGAAAGGAGAGTTATTTTCTCTACTGTTTGTTTGTTTTGTTTGTTTGCGGCAAACTCTGTCTTGTTCGGTTCACACATTTTGGAGAGGACACTTTCGTAAGACGGGCTGCCTTTTCCGCGTCTGTCTGGCCTTCTAAAAATCTCTCTCCCCCCCTCCCCGGCGCTTAACAAACCCTCCCCCCTAAATAATACTTATCAAAAGGTGACCCTCTATGAATGGAAGATATATAACCCCTCCTCACCCCACACCGCGCCCCTATTACGGGCATCTTTGAAAAATCAGGAACACTAGGGAAAGGTTCCCTTGCAAACATTCTGTGTAGTTGTGGGGTTTGAGTTTTGTTTGTTCGGTTTTTTGGGGATTTTTTAAATGCATGCATTGTTTAGGGGAAGAAGAAGAAGAAGGGATATATATATAAAAAAAACCACAGAAAGGGGAGGGTGTGTGTGTCAAGCCCTGGTCTTCAATGGTATGTTTTAAGCATTAATTTGCAGATCTTTCCGGAAATGCATCCGAACACTTTTTGACAGGCTGAGAGCTGCGAGTCAGCTATGATCTTATTCAAACGTGTAATGAAGGAGCGTCCTAAGACGACAATTAATAAATATTAGATGTTTACTCCCTCAGGTTTGCTAGTTTACTTCAAACAAGTCTATATATATATATATATGCGCGAGACCCCATTCTTTCATTGTAGCCAGACACGTTTCTCAAAGAAGAGGCGGGTGGGTGTAAACCCTGAACTGATTAAGATGGCTTCAAAGCATCCTTAGCTTGACAGTATGTCTTTGGAAGATCTACTTAAATATATATAAGAATTCTTCTTTCCCCTCACACACGCTGTTGGTTCTTTTTTTTTTAACTTGGAAGGTGGGCGGAGATCTACTTCTCATTTTATAAAGACTAATGTGGTTTTCTTGTCTTGGACAGATGGCATTTCCCCTGCAACATTCCCTCCCTCTCTCTCTCTCACACACACTTCCCTTCTGATCTCATAAGCAAGAGTAAATTCAAGACCAAAGTCTTTCAAAACTATTTACTGGGGTGAACGGTCTTTCCTGGTGAATCTACTATTATTTAGGACTTAAACAATCGATGGATAGCTATTGGGTTCTTTTATTTTAATTGCTTAAGGGGGAGCTTATTTACAAGATAAGAAAACCGGAGCTTTAGGGAGCTGTCCCAAAGACGCGTGGTGCTGAACCGGAAGCTCCGCGGGGAAGCAACAACCACCAGTGCCCCTGATCTCCTTTTCCCCTGTCGAGGATTCTCGGAGAGGGTGAGCATCCGTTTATGGGTCCTGCAAAGTGGGCTACAAAATATAGGAAAGGGAAGCGTGTCTATTATTCTGCAAGCAGGAGGCAAAAGTTAGGACAGGCGGGGCCAGAGCGGAGATTCTAACCTGGATAACCAACAGGGTGGTTGCTTTTGGTGGATGTAAATGGGACCCGGTCTATATCAGTGTAGATTTGGTCGATTTCGAGAGTAGAAAAAATGGGGGGGGGAGAGATATTTGGAATTCTGGTGCCCCCTTAGATTCATCGCAGACTGATAAACACTCGCACAAACTTTTGTCTTTCCATTGAGTCCAATGAACAGTGGCCCAAAGCTATACAAGGAACATCACAAAAAGACGTGGACGGGAATTTTGGCTCTCATCATCCTCTTCTTTATCGCCATCATCTCTCTGTACTTGCCCAGCAAAGTACTTACTCTGGAATCCCTCTATTATATAGTAGGCCTGACTTGGAGGCACTCTGCGCTTCCTTCCCGCGCCTTGATATCCAAGAAGTTCGGGATTTCCCCCATCTGCTGCCTTCAGCAAAGCTGCCCCTCCCCCGGGGACCCGAAGATGGCTTATGATGGAAGCTTAGTTTTGGATGTCCCTTGACACCCCGGGCCAAAGCCCAGCACGCAGAAGTAGGAGCTCCTTGGCATCCACGGAAGACGTCTCTCTCTTTCCACCGCTTGCTGATGGCAGAACCGCACCATCTGAAAAAGTCAAAGATCGCAACTTTTTGAAGGATTACACTAAGGCGGTTTGTTTGTGCTTCTTTCACACATACACTTATTTATACACATAAGTACTTTAGCATGAGCCGGAAGTCAGTGAACTGTAGTTTTTGAGCAACTTACTTCCGGGAAGTTGCGTTACCCTTCCTTCCTTCCTTCCTTTCCCCACAATTCTCATTCCTTTCATCCTACCCATTTCCCCTCCTGTCTCTCTTCCTCCGTCAGCCCCGCTTCCTTCTTTTCTTTAACAAACAGGTATAATTTTGCCTGGCTGGGGTCCCTCCAACCTCCCCACCCCCACACACCTAGATATGTTCCGACCCCCCCAGCACCATCCTCCCATTCCAGTTTGACAGCGGGCAAACACTCGCCTGATCCTTGCTCTTTCCGCACCTGAACTCACCAGGTACCACTTCTCTAAGCCTCAGCTGCCTTTCTCCCTAGCAACCCCGAAGAGGGAGGCGAGTCTCTGCGCTGCTCACCTCTCCAAACGCCTGCAGGTTTCGACTCACAAGGTGGGCGTCCGTCAGGCAAGCGATCAAAGCCTCTTGTCTCACAAGGTCAGCGTTTCGCTGTAGCTCCATGGGATATTCGGGGCTGGGCTGAAGCAGACTGTGCCCCCCGCGCCAACCCAATCCACAACTCAGTTTTCCTTGAAGCCACCGCTCTGGGGCTGATCTGGGGACTGAATCGGATTCAAATCGGCGTTCTTCTCTTTAGCCGGTTGCAAATCGGCTTGAAATCCCACTTCTGCTTAGCTAAGGTCTGGATTTGTATTTTCTCCCTGGGCAAGGCACACCGGGCTGCAGCTTCCATTGGGAATATAATGGCTGCAACAGTTAACCGGTTTCCAGCCGGCTTGAATCAGCACGCGGGAGTCCTTACACCTGAAACTGCAAATCATATCTATGATTGTACCACCTCTGGTACAAGCAGCATATAGAATTTTTGCTTCCCCACCATCCTGTGGTTTTCTAGAGGCTTACACATTTGTTCAAGAGGACCACAGAACCAATACTTTACGGCAACACGAGCGACAGCATTTCTGCCATTTCGGTAGCCTTTGTGAACAGCCGCATCCGGGTTTTGAGCTGCTCGGTGAACCGATTCAAACGGCGCAAAGGAATGATGTTCCTGCTGCAACCCTGCTCATCTTGAATTCGGGAGAGTCTCTCTCTCTCTCTCTCTCTCTCTCTCTCTCTCTCTCTCTCACACACACACACACACACACACACACACACACACACAAGTTCTCCTTAAGTCGCCACATTTGCGGATAACACTCGCACAGTCACACGTGCAATTATTGTTTATTGTTCCCAAGACTTTTTCGCAGGCGAGGATACACCCGATGTCCGGGTTTCTGTACTGCTCAGCTAAGAGATCTCTAGCACTTGACTTCCTGAGTTTTGTTTTGTTCCGTCCAGTTTCTGCCTTGCCGGGGAACAAGGGACAGATTCCTCCCCCTTTCCCCCCAAATCTCCACATCCCTACATTCTTTGCTCACGAGGAAGGGGAAGGGAGCAACCCAACACACGCACGTGCTGTTTTCAAAATGATCACTGTAAAAAGGCCCCACGGACTCATCTGTTTTCTGCTCTCACCTGCATGGGAAATACTGTATCGGAATGTCCAGAGACCAAGCGGAAGGAAAAGCCCATCAAAAGCAGACTAACTTCAACATTTCCAAAAGTTTAGGGTTCCCCATTTGGAGTACACAGCTACACACGGGTATATGAATATATGAGCCATCATATGTAATCAGACACGTGTTCACATCCCCGTGGGAAACCTTTCCTGGGAAGCGGAGATTGGTCTCCCTAGTTGGCACGCACCCATTCCCCACAAGCCCAAAGAGCCGCGTGTCTGATCTTCACATCTGAAGGCGATACCGGTGTGAGTGCGTGCCTGCACTTTCTCCTCTGCCGGAAGGTATAGGAAGAGTAGGTCCCTAGCTATGTTTACTGGGCAGTAAATTCCACCTGGACTTTGAAATGCTGAAGCCACGGAGGCAATATGGTCACAGGTACAAAATATAGAGGTCTTCCCCTCCATGGTGTGAGCTTCTCCTAGGTAACAGCCTAGCTAGTGTATGTGTGCGTGTGTGTTTATACGCATTTGTATGGGCAGACTAAAGGCTTGCGCTATCTGTTCTGTTATGACTATAAAGAATAATATAAAATGGAAACCCCAAAAACCCAGATCCACCAACCGGAGCCT